TACATTCACAACAGTGAAAACTTTCAAATGTGCTCACAAATGCTACATGTGTATAAAGTGTACAAGTGTATGAGTGAGTGTATGTGTGTGTATGAATGTGTGTAAGTATTTCGACATGCATACTTAGTAAATTGTAGAGAATAAAATAGAACTTGTAACAAAAGTAAAAATTAATTTATTTCAATTGAAGATGAACTTTGAAATGCGAAGTTATTTTTCTACATTCATTGTATATGAGCGGAGGATGCGTTGCGTTATGTTTGCAATGGTGAGAAAGACACACATACACAACAATGTGTATGTGTGTTTGTGTGTAAAGTATTATTGCTGGTATATTTGGTGGTATATATATGATGTACAGTACGTTTCGCTTTGCCCAGCCCGGTATGCAGCCGCTGGTGACAAAGTGTCAGCATAACTCAGATAACTGCCATAGGACAGCAGATACGGGTACTCTGGTGGTCCGTAGCTGTGACGCGTGGAAACGTGCCACGGGTGGTGCTCGCAAAAGTACAATAGAAGTGTCTCAGTATCACGGCTGGGTATTACGGGCCGCAGGCAACAAAGAAATTTTAAGTTTTCTGCTGATTTAGTGCACGAAAGTTTTAAATTGAACTGTTTTATGCTCAAGTTTTGAGTTCCAGTTCGAGTTGAAGTCAACTTTTTAACGAAAAGCCGCTGCAAGTGAAAATTGAGTGGGCGGCCCAGTGGGCCCGGGCTGAGAGCCACGTGTTCGCCCCAAATGATGGAAAACAATCAATGAGGCGCATAAAATGAAATGAAAAATTGCTAAAAAGTAGTGTCTAAGCTTAAAATAAGGAGAAATGTCGACAAAGAAACAAAAGTTTGCCGTTCTTATTTTAATTGACTTTTAACTTAAATTGTTTGCTTTTTTGTTATTCCTTTCACTTTTTTCTTGCTCTTTGCTTATTTTATTATAATTGTTTATAGTTTTTAATGGAAGTGATCATTAATTTGAGAAGAAAGCAAATGGGTTGGCTGTAGTAGTTTTACTAAGAAGAGCAGTTATAGTCAAAAAAAGCTAAAGATATACATTATCTTAACACAGTAACAACATAGAACGTATACCAGTCAACGTGGCATAAAAAAGTAATGCCTGTGATACATGCGTTTAAGTGTAGTTGAAGTAATAAATGTCACGAAACACCAAAAAGGATTCGTTTGGGAAACGTTTTTAAGCTCACATATTCGATAGGTAGCTACGACTGACGATACACGAGTAATGTTTGTCAAAAAGCTTGTTAGGACCAGATGCTCTGCTGGTGAAAACAAATGGCAGTAGGTAAGTAAGGATGTCCAATATCAGTGAGAAGTATAGTTATACTGTTTAGCACTTAACTTCAATACTTTCATGCCTCGCCTATTAATATTAAGTTTATTAACTCAGCGGTTTAAACTACATTACATTAAAGCACAGTAAAATTAAAAATAACCGATTTTTACACTCACTAGAGTAAAGAGAGGCCACCATAGTGGATCGCTCATATGACACGGTATTATTATTATTATTTGAAAAGGGGTAGTGTACTGCGACCTAAAAGATCTGTTACACCCCTTAACGGATAAGAATGTTTCTCCAAGTCCGATTTCTCTAATAAAAGACAGTACAGAGCCCATCTTTTCTAGTCTTGAATCCTTATGATCCATAGAATACCCTCCTAGGTGTTTCTTCCGCTTGTGCATCAGTACCGGGCACTCCCCAAGCATATGGTATGCAATTTCTCTCTTTTCTATAGTATCTCAGTCTGAGTTGGATTAAAATTCTAATTTCGATTATTCAATCTACAGTGACCGGTCAATAATCTTGTGATGATATGACACGGTAAGTTTTTTTAAGGAGAAGCAAACTATTTGTAGCAACACGGGATAGGTAGTATTTGGTTTCCCAACAAATATTGATACATTAGTGGTGTCAATAAAAGACGAATTACATTTATATATCGTCTCAAACAGTTCATTTATTTTCTTTTTTTTGTAAGAAAAAGCAAATTGTTCTCTTTCGTCTGTTCATAAAATTTTCCGTTTCAAATGCAACCCAGTAAGGTATCAATTCTCCACAAAAAAATTTATATTGGAATGTGGATTTATAGAAATGAAGTATCTGACATCCAAAAGTTCTCTTTAAGAGGAACTAAGTCATTTATAGCGACCATTTTAAAACAGATAACAAGGTAGGTAGTGATATTTTCACTCTGAAGTTGATTACAAACAAACCTTATAAGCGTCGTGATTTTGTATAGTACAAATAACATCTGGGATGGGTTTTAGCTACTACATGTCTCTAAACCATCAACAGAGTATAGTTTTGTCAGGATTTCTAACTACGCGAATTAAGTAGTCAGTAAGAATACTTTGGAAGCAACTTCTTTTCTTCTTTGCTTAATGGAATGCGAGTTATTTCTAAAATACTTTTACTCAATAGTGGTACAGACCAATTGGATGATCTACTCTAACAAGAGCTCCATTGAATTATGATAGTAAGTTATTCAATTGAATTTACAGAAATATAGTTTGAAGCGCAGCATATCTCTTTAATGAAATATATATTGCATTTGATTTAAGAGTTAAATTTTAAGTTAATGTCAGCATCCACAGAATCAAAAAATAATACAATATAAATAATCTAAGCATAATATTAGATATTATAAAGCTAGTAAGAACAACAAAACGGAATAAGTATCAAAAGTCGAACTTATCGAAATTGCAAAATATTTGACACACATCGAAAGAGGTGTATCGGAAAGAGCATTGATGCTATAAGAGCTGACTTCTACATAAGTCAACGTATAACTGAAGATAAGTTATACAAGTTAACGATTATAAAATGTTATTAAACAACACCTTTTTCGTGTCAAAATAATAATAAAAATAATAAAACTAATTAAAGACTAAGGAGAAGAGATTTCGTAAGAGATAAACCACTTTAAGAAAAGTTCTAGTAAAGCAAATATGTAGACGTAGGACCTCGAATTGTACCAGCAAATCATAGCCTTACATTGTCCAGTTGCTTTAAAGATAATAACTGAGAACATCACTATATGCTATCTTGTGAGATCAAACAATCTCAGATAGATAAGTCACAAAGTTTTTTGCCATAGAAAAAATAGCGGTATAGGCAACAATAATACAGAGTTTGGAACTGCATAGGACTCCTTACTCTACAGTTCATCAATCTATAGCTGTAGAGTATGAATATTTATTTAGTGCCGTGTAAAGCCAGTGCCGGTGATTATACGAAGTTGTAGTCCAGTTTAATATATATTATGTTAATAAATATTTATTGAAATTGTGTATATTTTTTTTTTTTGTAGTATAAAAATTTAAATATTTTATACATAAAAAAAGCATTCACACTCGCAAATCAGTTGATTCGAAAAATATTTAAAAGCAACAAACATAAAAAATATGTTAAACCACTTAAAGTCATTTAATTTGAAATTTGCGTTATCAGGATTTTACAAGCGATTTATCTGTGAACTCATTAAACAGAATTAATACGAAATAGCGGCCGTAAATGGAATTAAACCAATCGAAAGTTATTCGCACTGGAAGTGCTCTCTTCTCGGTTTCAGTTTGTGTCCTTACGCAAGTATTTTAGTTCAGAATTTTGAAAAATCTAAAAATTATTTTAAACTTCGCTAGTGTCTGCATATCCAGGATAATGTGAGGATACTTCTGCCATATTTCTTTATTTTTGCTTACTTGGCTCATCTGCATTTTATGTGCTAAATTATTATCATTTTTTCCAACAATTCACATTTCTACATTTTTCCCGACCATAATAAAGATATATGTGCGCCTATTTATATACCGAAATTTGTACGCTCCTATGTAGAAATATATCCTTTTAACCGAATGTACGAGTACACAATCGCACTTGCTTTCACCAACATTTTGCGGTATTAATTTTTTTGTCAACTTCAACAAGAAGCAACTGCAGATACATTTTGTACTGCGGTTGTTCTTGTTGCTACTACTGCTGCTGTTGTTGTTGTTGTTGTTGTTGTTGTCGTATCTGACGTAGTTGTTATGGCATTCAAAAGTTGCTTCTTCATTTTTTCTTGGATTTACTTCAGTTTTTCATTTTTCATTTTTCATTTTTATTTGCAATTTTTCGAATTGCTTTAGTGTTTAACACGGTTAGCACTGCGTGGTTGCTATTTCGGTTTTATTATTATTTTTTTTTTTGTTTGTGTATCTTTTTTTAAAAAAAGATTTTTTATATTTTTTTTTTTGGTATTTTATTCTCATAATTTTCATAAGCAGTCGTTTTGCTGAGGATTTATGTTTTTAAACGCCTTTTAATATGGGCTCTTCATCCAGTGCGCGTAATAATAAAAATAATGGCATTACACAAGTAGGTAGGTTGACGTTACGGCACAGTGCCGGAAATCATCTTCGCACCGCCGATAAGGATGCGTTCCTTGTCGTAGTCATTGTCAGAACTGCCGTTCCTGGATTCAATGCTGCTCCTGCTTCTACTCCTACTCCTGTTGTTGTTGTTGGTGTTGGTGTTGCTGTTGGTGTTGCTGTTGTAGCTCAAGAAGCTGTTGTCAGCTCATTGTGTAAAAAGTAACACTGCGACTGTGGTCTATAAACATTTATAAGACAGCTACATTTCGGCTTCGTGCTATCTAGGAGTTAAAGCATGTGGGTGCGTGTCCTAACTGCACACAGCAGAAATTGTAATCATCATCATTTTCTACCCATTCGTAGTCGTAGTCGCAGTCGTAGTGGTAGTTGGTGTTCTGCTTGTTTTATTTTTTAATTTAAATTCTGAGCCACTGATAGTTGCAATATACCGACTTAAGCACAGAGGCATACCGACATAACAGACCGACATCGACCTATACACCTACTAAATTTCATGTGCTATTTTTCTGCAATTTCTTCTATAATTTTCTTTTTCATTTTTTTTTTTTTTGGCTTCTTTTTTATATTTTACTATATTCATTTTTCTTTAATATTTTGGTACTTACTTTCGGATGTGCTCTCCGGGGAAATGCCACTTTTGGGTCGATCTGCAAGTAAAAGTAAAAAAGGGGGAAAATTACTCTATTTGCCACACTTAAGCGAAATATTTGGGTTGAACAAAGCGAAAAAATACTGAGAAACGTTCATAAATATAATTTTTAAATTATTAGAATTTTATATGTCGGCAATTGTAACGAACATTTTTAAATTATAATTTTTTGTTACTGTATGCTTACAAATTAGTCGCAACTAGAGACGTAGTACTCGAAACATACAGGGTCATATCTTAAACTTATATTAATGAAAAATGATGAAAAAAGTTAATTTACTACCTGAAGTCATCTTTAGTTTAAAATGTGACCTTTAGCAATATTGTATAATATCTTTCACAGGTCCAGGAAGTGTGCAAACAGAAGGATCCTGGATTCCATCACAACAAATAACTCATAAAGGGATATTAATGAAGGATTATGGGATCAGATACTTATAATTTTATTTTAATGCAGTTCTACGGTCAATGGTGAAATTTGAGGTTATCTTAAAAATATATATAAAGAAATTGTTGCTAAATAGGTCGATTACTGCTTATTAAATAAATGTCGTAAGCCGATAGCCCAGTCTAACAAGGCGCGATTTCAATTTAAGCTCCATAAGCTCCATATGGTCTATAACAGTGTTTCTCAACCCAAAACGTACTGTGGACCAGAAAAATCTTAAATGTAAATTTATTGCTTAGAAGCCGGTATTGTTATAGATCACAACACAATATTTCACAGTCCGACGGTGCTAATGATTCGGGTCATTATCAGATATCAGATAACCGTATGGGAGAAATCCTGACCTTAAATACAAAATCCACTACTGATTACAAAATTATTTCAAATACTATTACAACAAAAGAATAACACAATGACCACATTACCTGATTTTCACCATGTCATTTCGAATATAAAATGTCATTGCAATGAAATCTAAATATCATAAGATAGGTATAATTGTCATTTTGCGATTTTTGATTTAAATAAATTTTAATTTAAAACAATCAGAGAGAAATATATCAGGGACAGAGCCATAAAATTGTTCACAAAACTTGATACGCTGCCCAACCCCGCCCTAACAAAAGTCAAGTCCATCTCAGGACCCACAGGAAGATATACTGACCTACGGTCCGTCATCAATTAAAAAATAAATAAACAATATGAATTCCTGCATAGTTAAAGCCTAGTGTGGAGCAGCGCTAAGCCCACCAGCCACAATAGCATCAACTCAAGAAACCACAACAACAACAATCAGAGCTGGATTTGACATGAAAAGAATAACTAGTAATCATTGTTTTCAAAGTCTATTGTTGAAACAGCTAAATGTTTAAATCTGTTAAAGAAAATTTTGTCATTCAATATTTATTTTACAAAATTGTAAATCGTTTAATTGTAATTGGCAGAGAAACTTAGTACAGTGTTTTATTAAAAGATATATTAGAACAAGTTATTTCTATCAGCTCGCTTGATAGAATTGATCTGCCAACAGTTTTCGGAGGAATGTTATGTGAACAGGTGAGTAAAAAGTATTTTGATCTAACATATAAAAACTTATTAGATTGATAAAGATTCAATTTAGCGGTTTCATTAAATTACCGTACAATGCATTGATAGGAAAGTCGAATAGGTCAAACTCGGTGTTTCTTTTTGCTTAAAGTTTACAAGCAGATAGTAATCGATTCTAGTCAAAACTGGAGATATGTACCCAGCTTGTTGACAATTCGAACTAAAGTTCCTATAATTTGACTTTCCTTATATTTAACTTATAACACAAATAATATCCTTTAAAGCATGATATTTTGTTACACGAAAAAACATTTATTTCCCAAGGGAAATTGAAAATATTACTGGTATCCCAAGGAATATCACACCAAAAATTTTTCTGACAATTAATAGTAATTTTCAAGTAATGCTAAATAATTCCAAAAATATGTTTAAAGGGAATAATGCAATACTATTTTTCCAAAAAGAACCGTGACGTGATGAGCGAAGACACTGTATAGAGTTAAGCACCATCTCTATACTGTTTGGAGTAACACTAATTCCTTGTGACACGCCATCGGAGGTGCGAATTCAGTACCATCAATGTCTACGTCTTTGGCTGTTCTGCCAAGTAGCAGATGATTTCTTGAAGGGAGTATCGTGGTTGTTGTGGTTAAAACCCCAACATACGCGGATAGTGTGATTATATTCATTTACACTCATTCGGTATGGAGTTGCACTTACCAACTGATTGTTGTGACTCAAAGAACAACTGTGATTTAGATGGATCGCGCTCTCTCCTGAGGTGAAAAATATTGCCAAATATATAAGTAAGAATTGATACACACGCAATTCCTTGGAATTCTGATCGGGACATTTGTTGTCACATTTTACTAATACATGTGTTAAGAACACCGTGCAGTTAAACCTTCATGGAAAGAAATCTGGTTAAAAAGCTATGAACTGTACATAGTTTTTCCTTCGGGGTGGCGGATAGAATATTTCCGAGATAAAGCATGCCCCTGTCGTAAGACGCGATTGAAATCAAACTAGTAGCAGGTGGACTCCATTTGCTATACATATGCTATATATATATATCTCATACAACAGTCTCTAGGTCCCCACAACTACAGTTGTCCCCAGACACTGGATTGACTCTGAGCAGAAGTGTCAGGTTATGATTATTACCTGAAGTTACGCTGGAAGAAGACTAATATTTCTGATATCACAATATGTGAAATTGCATTTTCTCAACAGTATGCTTTAACGCAAAGAATATCTGAAATTTAGATATGCATCGCTGGTCAACATCGGGAAGTTATATCCAAACATGTAACTCGAATTGGTGCCGTGGAACTAGGTTTAAGATACCGTCATATAAAGCTAATTCAGCAGGTGATCACGAATCAGGCTCTATAGAGCATAAAATATTATACTTAAAAAACTTATAATATTCTACTTCGGTAACATATAGGTAAGCTGTAAAGCTGCTATAGCCTAAATTTAAAAATATCGCACCTATATACTTAAAATGGAAAATAAGTGTTCTAGTATTTCTTTAGGGGACACTAGCCGATATGATGTACAGGAGTTGTAGTGGAGCAGGCTATTTGCTAGAGGAATGTCGTTGTTCCAAACAAAAAGAGGCTCAGTTTTCTTAACCTTCTGTGCAGTCATTTGTTAGATCCTTCAATTCGATTATTATCTGTGATCAAAACTAGCAATAGTAATAGTACTGGAAAATAATTTAAATAGTGAACGCCGCTACTTATTCAAAAGTTACCAATAATTATTTAACTTAATATGTGCTATTAGTATATAATAGCATATTAGAGGCCCTGTATAGTTGACAAGAAAACTACTCTTTCATACCTCCTTTTTAATATCTTAATTTATTTCTTGAAAGTTAAACACATAAGTCTTTCGGTGCGGCTTGCCAAGACCGCATTTCACTTTTTGCAACTTGAGAATATGCAGCAATTGAGTTGCTGAAGAGATGCTCGGTCCTTCAAATACAATTAGCATGGAAACAAGGCTATAGTATGATGGAAGATACTTATAAGATGTAAAAATCAAGCACATTAAACGGCATCATCATTAAAAATAATTAAAAATCATAAAAAATTTTTTACAATTTCATTAGGGAAAAAATGCGTGACGTTGCAAAAATGCGGTTTTTACAATTCACTTCAACTAGAAGTTTATTAGGAGGAGGAAGAGGAGAAGGAAACGAAGGATGAGAAGGATATCGAGTAAGGGAACTAGTTATGATTATTAAATGAATGTTCGTAGTCGGAGTCAGAGTCAGAGTGACAAGTACAACAAATGAGCCAATTTTTTATCAGAAATTATGTGAGAATTTGTACAAAAACACAAATGCCAAATAGCAAATAACAAATAACAAATGGCAAACAAGGATAAAATAAACGAACTGGATAACGAAATATTGACGTAGCTTAAAGTATGATTTCCTGACGAAAATGTCGGCGGGAAATTGATTTTTAAATTAAAATTAAAACTAATCAATGACAGTAGAACGGCACGGTGGAAGGAGCCGAGTGGAGCGTATACAATTAAGAACTGCAACAGTAGCAACATCAGCTCCACTTCCAGCTCCAGCAACTGGAACCAGCAACTGAAACGCCAACTGCGGAAAAAAACTAAAACTGAAATGAAATCAAAATGAACGGAAGTCCCAAAAATTTAGATACGCCATTTGTGCAGCGTACAGTTTTGTTATACGAAATGACTTTTGGAAAAAAATTATATGCTTGAAAGGAAAGACTTTTCGATCGGAAATTGAACAACATCCCAAATGTGCGCCAATTGCAATGGCCAAGGCAACGCCAACAGCAGCAAACGTCGACAAAGGAGCCGCAGTATATGCGCAACATAATTAAGTTAATGCATTGCCGTGGTAGGAATAGCGCATCGTCAGGACAAATTCACATCTACACATCTACGGCAATAGGTAACCGGAGAACTACAACCGGAGTACCAGCTAACAAAAGTCATTGCGGGCACAAAGGCATCGCACGGCACAGCTGAGCATTTAAAATTATTATATAATACATACAGCACTTATTTGAAGTCCAAAAAAATTTTTTTAAATCCGTCCAAATAACAACAATAACTTTAGCTGAAAAGGATATTCACTTTATAGTATTATTCACTAGTACTGCGAGGCTTTATTGAGATAAACAGTGCTTTGATGTGCTACTAAATGGCAAACAAAGTTGTTACAAAATTTGTTGAAAATAAAAATAACAACAAAAAATTCAGTTCCGGAAGGAGTATCCAAACTAAAGTTAAATCAGCCAAAAAAACATCAAATATTTCGTTTGCCATGAATGAAGCTTCCACCGGCGAATTTCTCGTATTAGTCCTGCCATTTTTTGCTAGTTTAGTTCTTGGCTTTTAGTTGAGTTTTACTTTGGCTTTCTACATTCCGTTTGGTTTTCTTTTTGCATTTGACAAAGTGTCGTAATTAAAATTGTTTACAAACATTGTTGCAACACGTATGACAGGGCAGGATTCTGAAGTTCCACTGTCAATCGTTGCAGTGACGCTCCATTTGTCAGCTACAACTCCACGTGCGGATACGAGCGACTGCTGCTGCCATCATAAACAGCATCTGATTACATACCGGCGTAAAGATAAATGTTAGTTAGACTTCACTTTACCGAAATATAAAAAATGCATATGAGGACGAGTACAAATGCCATGCAGTTGAACTTAAATAAAAAATTTCAACAAATTTTTACCTTTTTGCCATCGAGTTCGTGTGTACCTTGAGCTAAAACCTTATCTACGCTAGATGGATCACTGAATGTTATGAATCCGAACCCCCTGCAATGAGAAAGAGTAAAGAAAACAAATATTTGTTAATTATGCACGTATTTGCAACGTTTATTTTTTTATTTTTTTTTTATTTTTTCATTATTTTTTTTATTAAATCCATAAAAAGATGCATACACTCAGATACGAGCACAGCAGCGGGCAGAGTATCTGAGCAAACTATGCTGAAAGCACGAACCAACTCTCACTCCCAAATGTTGAACTTTGTTTAAGCTAATGAAATAATTTTTAACAAAATATAGTCAAATAGAGTATGACAAAAAAACACATAGAAATGATATTAAAATAATTTATGCACTTTAATAAAAATTGCTATCGAAATAGCGCGACGTCGGAACTGCAAGGATGCCATTGCCATCGCCATGCTTCGCAACTGAACATTGCAGCACGCAAAGCGATTGGCGTTAACTGCAGAATACCCAAAAAATATACTTAATTGATAGTAACCGATATGGATCGGACAAAATTAAACATATTTGAACACAATAAAATAAATTGAAAACAAACTGTTATCAATGAAATTAATTAACAGCAAATTGAGGCAATTAAAGTGATTGAAATTTTTCAAATACATTCCATAAAAATCGATTACGCACACCAGTTTTCGTCTAGTTGGATTAGATACTTTCATTGAGATACATTATTTTTATATGAAGATACATTTTAATGCTTTAATAATTTAAAAACTTTAAAAAAAAAAATAAATAAATAAAAATTTTAATTCACTTATTGTTAAGTTATTAACTTTGGAGGCAATTGGAGCTTAAGATATAAGAATGTGATCGAAAACCATACCATCTAAAGACATATCATCTAATGATATACAATCTAAAGATATGAGGTTTAAAGAAATGTTTGCTATTCATGAATTTAAAGTGTTTTTCTTAATCCAATAATATCGATATGCAAATCTAAACCATATTTTGCAGAGTCTTCTGTAAACGTCACCAAATGTCCACCTAAGCAAATTTTTGATTCGACCAACAGTGCTGGGCTAACCTCCAGTATGTATTCTCTTCAAAAAATAGAAAAATCTATAAATTATATTAGCTTAAACTCCAGATATTTCCTACTAATTATGCAGCTTATTTCTAGTAAAATGGCTTTGTCAATCAACAAAACTGTCACACATTTCAAATACCATATATTCAAAATTGAACTATTAATAATGATTAACAACATCAAATTTTTAAGCCTTATAACAAAATTATTATAATTAATAAAATTTATAAATCCTCATTTCTTCTCTTCGTAATTTGCTTCAGACTTGCTAAAAATTCCCAACAAATTATGCTTAGTCTCTAAGTTAATTGACACCATTCAAACTAACTAAGTTAATTGAAATGAATTAAAATTCAAAGTTCTTTTATTAAATCCTAAGTTACTACTCGCATAATTCAATTCTCATAGAAAGCGATTTAGGTTAAGGCCGGTGTCCCGATAAGCAATTGTAATTGTTTATAGGCCATATATGCGTACTATGGTTTTCAATTACATTTTAATACAGTAAAAACTATTTAATATTATACAAAACTATCAATTGCTTAGAATCAAGAATATTTATAAAAATCTTGGGATATTGAAATTAAGCAAAATCTTATCTAAACAAAAGTGATGACTTTAGAACACTAAGCAGTTTTGGAATACTTGGTTTTTAATACTGTAAAAAATTTATTAATATTATAGAATAATATTAATTCAAAACTTCACTATTAATACTGAAGAATAATGTTTAGAATCCCTTCAATAGCTTTAACAAACCGAACTAATGGTACTAGAAGAGTAACAAATTTCGAACCACATTTTAAATCTATCAGAAATTACAGTAAACTGAAATGTCATATTTAACTCTTTTGACTATATTAAATCTGCTTATAAGTTCTGTCCAATATACTTATTATCTCTATAAATAAATAAAAATACAAGAAAAAACAATATCAAGACAAATACACAAATCAAACAACAATTTTGCTTCTATTCGACCAAATATTCTTTTAGGAGTATATTAGTGAAGGGTCTACCTTACCACCGAATGTAATTGTCAATAGATGACCTCATTATAAAAACCTCTTTTTAAAAGATTTTGTTCACTTTTGGAAAAATCACTTTACCTTTGACTTAAAGCTGATATATATGGTAATGTTTATATTTTATAAATTTATATAAAAAGAAAATATTGTTCTAGTGTTTCAAAAAATCTATTCTCGGAAAATTTACTACAATAATAACAAAAATCTTTGATATAGATTTCTGTGAAATATTATAAGAAACAAAGTTGAACTAAATTTAGTAAGTTACCTATAAGTAATATCAAAACAAAGCTTTGGAGGAGAAGTCCGGCACTAACAAGGAACATTTTGTGAGTAACTCAAGTGTCCTCTATCTCTTTGGAGAGCCTATTGGAGCAAGGGTGAGAAACTTTCTTCAAATAGGTAAGTAAGTAAAAGCCGCAATTTTTCAATCCACATATATTTATATTAAACATATTGAAATTGTGATTTAATGCAAGTGCGGCCTTCTAAGAATAGTTAATTGTTTTAGTATTATGTATTGGTATACACGGAATGCGACGATAGGTTAGATCTTTCGCCGCTCTCACCTAACCTAAATCTAAGTAAGATATTTCAGTGATATACTTGTTGAGTTTCCATGACATTTGGACAAATAGAGTTATTGAAATTATTGCATTGTGCTTTGTCAGAAACCGTACGATTTGGACGACTATTTAAACTATGCATTCTGAGTAGATAATATGAGACACTAGATTGAATATTTTGGATTGAATATTTTGGATTTTTCCCTAGACTGATTTTCCCTTTTTTTCTTAGTTGAAAAAAACTTTAATAATTCAGTACTGAAGGGGAATGATGCAAATGTAATTTTATGAACTGCGAGTACATAATAATAGCATTAGGAGAAATTATCCTACTTTTTCTTGCTTTTAGGCGAATTGCTGAAGATATAATTAACACAGTTTAACTACATTTTGATTATACAAAGGAGGCGTAAGAGGCTTTTCTACCGTTTGACAGGAGACCTCATACCGATAATATTATAATATGTGCTTTTTAAGAAAACATTTCATGTCATTATACTTCTTATGATTTAATGTGCTTCAGTTTAGTCTTTTTGACTCCCTGAAAGGTTGTAGGTATTAAACCCTCTCCTTTCATTAGGATATATATTATTTCTTCTAACATTTTAATGAGAAATTACTCTGTGTACTGAATTATTTATAATAGAATTAATGAAAGAAACTGCATCACAAAATTAAAATGAACATAAATTGTTTGTTTCTTAATTAAAATAAAATATTTTATGAAAATTGCCTTAATATACTTTATTTGTTTAATGAACTTTCATTTCTTCCCAGATTTATTCCTTCTTATCCAGCCGTCTCACGTAATTACGAATACACAATAATAAGTAAGTTTTTTTGAATTCTATATATTTATGTATATTTTTTTTAAAGGTAAATCCCTAAGAATTCCTGCATCCTGTGGCGCTTAATTTATTTGCACTTTCATAAATAACTGACAGCCCATCCTACAAGTCATCGATTTAGTTTCATTGAAATATTTACACAACATGGACAACAATTATTTATCATATTCATCCATGGAAGACAATGATGCATTCAACTGCTTCTCAAGGCCAATTTACTCTAATGTTATTAGTGTGGATGACTTTAAAACACCTTGCTCAAGTCACAGCACTCTAGTAAATAAAGATAATATGAAGAAAGATGCTTGCGACCTTGAAGACAAAGCCAAACCTACTGAAGAAAGTCAGAAACAGAATTTATGTTACCTGGAACACATCGAAACGAACAGAGTATTAGAAAACAAGAATGTGAAGAATGCTTCGAACATGTATGAACTCTATGCTCTAGCCAAAAAAGTTATCCAGAAAGATTTGCCCGAAGCTGAAAACACGTATCCAATAGTTGACATGAATATCAAACCTACAGCTAAATCTCCAAGAAAAGGAACAAAGCTGAAGAGGTTTAACAGCACGGAAGCAGTAATGGATATGCAAATCAAGCCTAGGAGAAAGTCAACAAATAAACGTAAAAAGGCGAAGAAAGTCAAATTCAATATTAAAAAGTGCGGTGTAGCGCGTTCACATCGTAAGTATTTCGGAATGTTTGAGCAGGACTATTCGTCAATGCCAGAGGCGGACGCAGACGAATGGCTCACTGTATCCGAGTACTCTTCCATTTCTAATGGGTTAGAGCGAGAGTTCCTATTGGAACCCGAAGACTCTATTAACATCATAGCCAAGAAAGAATGCAAAGAGGTAGAGGAGATTCCTGCGACCACAGTAACTAATTTAGAAGAAAGTTCTGAAGAACAGCCAAGCCAAGAACAATAAAATTTTAAATAGAATATATTTGTTGTATATTCTATAATTTATTTTCAATAAGTTCCGACAAAATTCAACATTTTTCGTGTAAAAGTTTATGTTTCATATTTGCACATTTTCATTGAATAAATATAATAAGCAAGGAAACTTATTAACACTTGCGCTGCAAAGATAAACTGCTTTTAACTACGAAACAATGCAGACAACTTGTTATTGTAACTTTAATTAAACACTACAATGAAAAGTAAATTTCATAAAAGTTTCATAAATTTCCTGCATAGTTAATGGGTTAACGATAAAATTGAAAAGCAAAAAGCGAGAAGCGAGCATCAAGCATCGAGAAGCAAAAGGTGAAAAGAAAAAAGCGAAAGGGTAGATATATGCAAGTGTAAAGTGTAAAGCAATAAAGTGAAAAATCAAATTGAATAAAGTAAAATTGTGCAAAAAGACGCACAATTTCAATACCGATTCATTTCATTCGCATTTTCTTACACTCATATGTATGTGTATTCTTATTGACACACACACGTTCAGTCACATTCAAATTTCCTTAAGCAGCAATTATATATGTATCACTGTCGTTTCCGTTGTTGTTGCCGTTGTTGTTGTTATTATTATTTTTTTCTTAAGCAAGTAAATTACAGAAATGCATGCGTCAATGCTGTGTTTATGAAAGCACATACTCCTTGGCAAATATTCGTAAGTTTAATTGTTATTTTTGTTGCTGTTGCTGTTGCTGTAGCTGTTTTACTGCTAGCATTTCCTCTTTTAATTTTTTTTTATTTATTTTAATTTTTAATTTTTGTAAGTTTTAAGCAAATTCACATTTGTACTGTTTATTCAGAAGTGTGGATGAAATTCTTAAAATAGCAAAAATTCCCTGCATCGCCAACATCATTCCAATTGGAATCCCACTGCACAAGCCACACACACGTACTAATACGTTTACATACCGCACACACGAATGCGTTACACTTGCTGTACTTTCTTTACTTCTGAAGCTTTTGCGTTTACTTGGTTCTGCCTTTATTTTGCAGCGTTATTTTGTGCTGTGCAATGCTATTCGCTACTACGGCTACGTAGTCCCTTTGCTACGTTTTGTTACTCGTATATTACGTTATATTGTGTAGAGTTGTGTTGTGTTGTGTTGCGTTACGTTTCGTTTAGTTGTGTGATGTGTTGTGTGCTGTGTGTTGTGTTCTGTTGTGTTGTTGTTGTTGTTGGTACCCTGCAAGGATGTTGTGATAAACTTATTCTTGTTAAATATTTAATTAAAATGCTTATTATCTCGCACTGCATTTTAATAAGTCGTCTCCTTTGCCTCTCTGCACAAATGGCATTCGCAAGTTACCATTCACCATTTACCAGTTACCAACAGTCACCAGCATTCTGAAAATGACTATTTTGTTTTACTTGGAGTGGGTTAAATCCACACATACTTATGTATAGTATATACGTGTACATGTTTGTATATCATATATCCAATCCAACGTTAATGAATATGCTACTTTCTGTGTTGTTGTTGTTGTTGTTGTTGTTTTCTCTTTTACTTTTTGTTAAAAGTGGAATTGTTTCTTGGCTTGTTTGTGTGGCAGACAAGCAGTCAAGCAGACGTACACACACACACGTACACACACACACACACAGCAAGACAGACATTTGTAAGTTTAACTGCAAATGTATATGCGAGCGAGTACGCTACTCCCTGACAGTAATTAACGCCGATTCTATTGCAATTGTGGCAATTGTTTTGGTTTTGATTCTGTGAGTGAGTTTTTCGTATAGTACATTTGATACAACTTAAAGGATTTTGCCCGTGTTATTGTACAGATTTATATTTGTTCTACTTGTGCATTGGGAGTGAAATTTGGTATTAAGAGGAACATAAAAATTAAGAAAATAAAGTGCAAAAACGACTTAAACAAGTGCAATACGTTTGTGGTAATGACCTTTAAACAGGCATAAAAACGTTAATAAAGTTGTTGTTGTTGTTGTTGTTGTAGTTGTTGTTAGCTTTTATTTTAGAGAAAATTTGCAACAATTGTACGAAAGAGGAGAAGTGAAAAAGTCAAAATTAAGAACGTAAGAAAGTTGCAAAGCAGCAAACTGGAAAAGTGCAGTCGAAAGCACTATTATGCTTTATTTTTAATTGCTAAAAAATAATATAAATATATATATTATTATATATTATAAATAATTTAATATAGCTGTTAAGCAAATAATTAATAAATGATCTGTATTATATATAATAATGCAGTCATTTTATTAGAAATTAAGGGGCTTGCACGGGGGTAGATGGTAGGACATCGCGAGCCTCTGTAGCTTCCCCTAGGGTGAAGGGGTTACACATCACTTGTGCAGGAAATGTACATGGTTGTAAGTGCCCGACTTACAACACTTGACCCGAGATGTAAATCTGGTACCTTGGCCCGCAGCTTCAGCTGTGCTGACCACTTATAGTTGAACTCGACGGGGCTGTAGTTAATGCTTAAACTTACGCGGGTAGAATGATCAGATATTTGTTTATCATTCATTCGGCATGAAGTTGCGTTTTCATCACCAGGTGCTGTGACCCAAAGATCAACAGAGGTGGTAGTTATGTCTTGCACACATTTCTTCATTAGCACCGGCGGAAATTCTTTGAATTTTCAATGGGGCGTTGATTGACTCCTTGTATGCATAACACGAGTTTTTGAACACCGTAGTATTAAGCCTTCATAACACAATACATTACATAAAATAACAATAGAGGTCTAGGTAATGAATTAATTGTACCAACAGCGAGTTCTACCCCGGAACTTTAAATTTGAATTGTGCATAGGGTTTAGCACTCATCACATAAAACCAGCCGGCAGTAAATAACGTAAGGATACCTTAGAATTAGAAACCTTAGGTTTTCAAATGACCGATGGACTGATTTACAGAAATACACCGAGAATGTCTGAATCTTGTACAGAAAAAGTAGCACAATATTCAATATAATTTTTCCACAGAATTTTGTATCAGCTTTGGGAGTTTTTGGGAGAAGTTCTAAGTTTTTTTGTTCTCAATGAGTTGACGACAACTACCGCATCCGAATAAACTATGAATATATAAACTCAATACTTTTTTTAATTGTTATTATTATGTAGAATTGCTGTACTAAATAAGTACCAATTTATAAGTCTTTCAAAGCAAATCTAACAACCAACAATCAGTCAACATCACCAAATACGAGTATACTAAAACATATAAATATATATACTCGTTCATTTGTATCCATCTGTGTTTTTGCCTTATAAAATGACGTATGCACAACTTTAAATATTTATAAGCTGTTATATAAGTATCACGATGAGCGTTTATCATTTGTATTAAAAAATTTTTCAGAATCATTAATTATTCTGCAACCATTAAAGGCAATTTGTACGTGTATTGTAGACGTCAAAAGCAGCCGATATAACGTTTAGGCAGTACCTGACTTTGACATTTTGTGTTCTAATAATTTAAACCGTAAAACGCAATTGTCGACCCAAAATGACAAATTTATTGTCCATGTTGTGACGTTGAATTTAAAAAGTGAAACACATGCAGCCTCCAACCGAAATAAGTACGTGCGCTGATATTTAAGCACGCGTATTGTCGTATTTTCGTGTTTTCGATGGTGTAATGTATTAAAATCGGTTCCGAAATTAGTTAGGCCTCAATACGTCCACACTATGCACTACGTGCGATTCACTCACCTAAACAACGGCACAGGCAAAGGACGTACAAGCATATAATTACACAAAAGGCATATAAAACAATTTAAAACAACTGGAAAAAATGTAACGACTGACTAAGGCTTAGCACACAACAAAAAAGTGTGGCAACAACCATGAGAAATCTATGAGAGGACAGCCACGAAATCGCATTTAAACATAAATGCCATAAAAATAACAAATGGCTACCATAATGTGTCCTTAAATTGTCACTAAATCGATTAATTTTAATAAAAGGCTCATTTAAATCCACCAACGAAGGGTTGGCTTAGAAAACACAATGCCACACCAACGAGATATACGGCCAGAGATAGATGCTGTCGCAGTATACAATGCAAGTATTTATCTTAAACCACGTTTGGGAAAGCAAATAAATTTTTTGACAGGCTTTATGAGTACAGAAATTATAAAGAACCATAAAGCAAGGCGGTTTGCTTAGCTGGCACAAGGACAGTGTATCACTTTGATGTGACATGCAAATTTGAGCGACATACCCCATGAATAATACGAATGCGAATCCAAATGTGAATGCGTTGGAAAACACAGAAACGGCTTCCTTGCCAGAATTTCCGCTAATTTTAGCATGTAAAGGCGAAGCGCGACCAACAACAAAGGAACGAGTCCTCATAAAAAACAGTGGATTTTGCGTAACTATCTGGGCACTTATACTTGTACTCGTACATGCCAAGTTTCTACTTCTACTGTTTGTGGTTGGCTCTTGCACTTGATTGTTGTAGTCGCAGTTATTTTTTGCGATATTAAATGCATATTTAGTCTTGTTAAATTACAGCTTTGTTGTAGTTGTTGTGCTTGTTGTTGTTGTTGACTGTTAAGGCGTGCGTGCTCAAGAAGTTTCATGAGAATCCTTACAAATTGTAGCGAAGAGCGGCGCGCACTGGCATAAGCACGACAACCCACTTGAACGTCCTTGTGCCTCAACAGTCAGGCAAGGAACTGTATGCATAAAGCCACATGACATTTTCACTTTGTTCGATTCGTGGTTTCCTTTCTCTTGCACTGCCTTCCTCTACAGTATTGTTGCATCTTCATTCTGCGGTGTTTTGATAAAACCTTTGTTTTGGCGAAAGTGGAAGTAACGAAAAAATACTTTCCCTGGATGCAGTTACCCTAATCAACCAAGTCAAAGAGTAACCAATGCAATGCCAAACAAACCAATATTAACAACTCACATTTGATATGCTCAACCTCATCATCAACACCAACGTTATCAACTTCGTCGTTGTCTTCATCATTATTATTTTTCAACGTTCAACGTTCAGCATTCAGTGTTCACTATTCAGTGTTCAGCGTCGTCATGAACATCCTCAGTAT